CTCGTATGATTATATATATATATATATATATATATATATATATATATTACAATTATTTATTACACGTTTCGACACTTGATGTGTGTCATCATTCACCAGGAAAATTACAAAAAAAAACATAAAATGACGATCAAAACTGAAAAATCAATTTTTCAGACACTTTCAGTTTTGATCACCATACGATTAACTTCCTATTTCTGCTGAGGATTTATGTTTTTTTCTTTAGTTTTTATTTTAATTATTTATTAGTTATGTGTGTTTTTATTTTTCATGTTTTACTTGGTTTGACTGTTAATGCATCAAAATATTTTATGTTTTTCTCTTCACTCTAAAAGTTCTAAAATATTCTTTAAGTCTAAAAATCGATTATTTAAAAAATGTTCAGTGGTGTTACCTTTTAATAACATACAGAAACTAGTGGCCTGATGCATTGAGGCAAATTGCTGGAACTGCCTATACCGAAGTTTAAATTGCATAAAAGCATTAACATTTCTTGAAAATTTTGAAAAATGTGTATTTGAAAATCTTGATTTATTTTTGTAAATTCTAATTTTTTTAAAGCGATCAAGCTGCGGTTCAGTTAAAATTCATTGTTTCCATGTTTCTTTAAAATAGCTGGACCTGCATACTAATGAACACGTTTCTCAATCAATAAGAATCGAATGCTTTTTGAATCATTCAAATCGCTTGAACCACGATCTCAAAATAGACGACGACAAAAAATTGTATCCGCACATAGGTAAGCACAAACACACACACACACTTCCATTTTTTTTAAGTGTGTCAAAATGTTCAGAAAGTGTTAAAACGTTAAGATATGCAAACATTTTCATTTTCGGGAAGTTAATACAACATATGTATTAAACTCAAATATTTGTATTTGTATCATTTGTATATCTTTGTCTTATTTTGTTTCCATTATATATTTTACATCATACATATTTTCACATACAAAAAAAACGATTTTCAAATACAACGTAGCTTTTACATTAATTCTTGGAGATAGTGTTATAGATTTGTGTGTAACACAAAGCTTGATATATATGAGGAGTGCATCACATGCAAATCAGGTTCAGTTCCAGTTATAGCATCAGAATTTCATCGTACTTTACACACACACACACACACACGCATATATATATATATATATATATATATATATATATACGAGTAATTGTGGAGTAATTGCATAAAGATAGAAATTTTAAATGAGCATCATATTGTATTTTTATACCAGCTTATATTTGGACGTGTCCTATACCAGTAAGTTATTGCGAAGAATCATTTTATGCGTTTTGGAAACTTCTAATTATTTTGGAGAATATGTATTGAAACGTATTTACGTTTGGGGTATTATATTGTATGTGTGTGAATATAATATTTCGACGCATCTTCAAAAGAGCATGTCAAATGAATTGTATCAAAATAACATTCGATTTATATGGACTGTGCGAAAGCCCTTTTTGGCTTCTTTTGATCGATTTATTTTTTGGATCGGAGGATGAAATGTAAAAATTGTTATGTGTTTAAAAATTTAGTCAATTAAATAAATGAAATTCAGAGTATTTTACATTCTTATCAAATTATTAGATTTTTATAGAGATTTGTACAATTTTAAGTATTGTTTCAAAATTATTTGGATTTCATAACATTACTGATATCTTTCGAAACTTACTTTTATAGTTCAAATGAAGCCTAGATATTTCAAATAAAAATTTGAATCGCCTGTCATCAAGCTAATTTCCTTACATAAAAAATGCACACTAAATGCACACTAATATGAGCTATATTGTCTACGAGATTAATATTATTGAAATTTATTGCACTTAAAAAAATCTGATTTGTTTATGCAATTACCTTCATAAAATAATTTTCATGCCGGAGAATATATTTCATTTTATTTGCCGGAGATTTTGTATTTGATTTTTATTCAAATAATTGTTCAAACTTTATAAAAATAAATACGATGAATTTTCAATAAATTTCATGTTCTTAAAAATGCTTAACAATTTTTACTACAAATTAAAATATATTGTTATTATTAAATAATAAAAAATATTCTACATTCAAACAACTTAAATTTTATTTTTTAATATTTAAAAATATGCCAGAATTTTTTTCTAATTTTGGACAAGAATCAGAATTAGCAGTCCTATGAGTTGTCGTAATGATTCTTATTTTTAACATTTTTTAAAAGGCACCTCCATGTTTGGTCTCTCTATATTTGATATACTTACATTATTAAAATTTATGATTTATGTTATTAATTCCTTTTTCTGAAATTAACTTATTTTTGGGCTAATTATACTTGATTATAAGGTCAATAAACCTATGAATAAAAATAACTTATTTTCATGGCAATAACTTGAATATTTTATAAAAGTTGTATATATAATATTACGAGTTTTAGATATAGTTTTTCATACACATTCTTTTGAACTTTCTAATTTGATTTGTAAAACTCTAAATTTATTGCCCAATAATAAACAAGTAGGTGTGAAAATATTTAACAGCGAAATAAATCTTCCATTTGTAAAAAAATATGTATTATTTTACTTTTATTAAATTTTGTGGTTAAGTTTTGACTAATAGGCAACTAGAATAAATAGATTTATGAAATAAAATAAAAACTGTAAAGCATTAATGAATATCTACAGTAGGTATCGTGTTACAAATTATTTTCATTAGCATTAGTGTTATGGTTGTTGTGCAATATGAGAACCTATAATCGTATAGTCAAAGTATTTCCTCTTCACCTACATATTTATAAATAATTATTATTATCTCATTACCTAAATTCATTTTTAAAATTAACTACTTTCTAATTTTAATAACCGACATATATATTATTATACGCACGACACTTGTTGCCTAATGAACACAAAATAATAATCGTATGTTATTAATATGATCATTTTAATAAAAAGATCTATTGCATATTGTTAATTTGCAATTTCATAATTGGAAAATTGTTTTGAATTTAACGTGATTGAAGATTTAATGAAAGTTTCATAACAGAGTTATTATAATTAGTCTTTAAGAATAATTTGTGGTTTTATATAAAATACATAAATTCAAGTCAAGGTACAGAAGGTAAATATATTTTTTAAGAATATTCTTTGTTTAGAAATTAAAAATTGCAATAATGTACACTTGGTAGTTGTTTCTCAATATTGAATATGAATTATGGAGAAACGAGTGAATAGTTTTATAAAATTAGACAATAGTAATTGAGTTGCATGATATACATCTTCATCGAAGGAGATGTCATTCGAATTTCGAGTAAAATATGATAAATAATATTCTAATAAATATACTGAGAAGAATAATCAGACAGAATGTCTGCAATTTAATAATCTAATCACTTTCATTAATATCTGTAATTCAAAACAAATGTTTTAACTCTAAACCTACCAGTAGCGGTCAAAATGACCGTTTTATATTCATGTGAATTTCAAATATCAATTTTATCATTAGTTTCATCCGTTTAATATTTTCTTTAAAAAAACATGTTTTTTGTAAATTGTCTTACAATGATACTTATTTTATATATGTATTTTGAATGGTTTTTTAATGGGCTCGCCAAAGCACTCATCTCAGCAAACTACACCAAAAGATTAAAAAGGAAAACCCCTTTGGACCTAACTGGCATTCCAAATCAATCTAGATTCTAATCTTTTCTTAAATTAGGAGAGATTGCAACTGTGCACTCTCTCAAGCATTCAATAGTTTATTTTGCAGACAGCTTCTTTGTTATTTTGTTATTCATAAAATTTACCTAATGTCCATTGGACAGATGTAAATTATATCCAAAATAATAAAAAAAAATTGAATGGTTTTGAATAATTTAAATAGGTTGATCGGTTGAAACATTGTATCCACACAAAACACGTACATACACACACATGAATCCGGCTTTTCTAAGGTATGCCAAATAAATGTTCAGGTGTCCAAAATAAATGTCCACTTTTGATTTTTCTGTGATTACTAGTAAGTTGGACTCGCCCGTAGGTAAGCGGTTAAGAGCGATGGGACTTGTTTCAGAGGCCCTGGGTTCGATACCCACTTCGAGCAGCCTTTTGTCAGGCAACAGTGACAACGATTTTCATTTGGAAATATAAATAGCAATGTGAAAATAGCCCTCATTCGGCATTGTTGCACCATACTTGCCCTATTACAGAGATTGTAATAAAAATTTATCGTACAGAGATGTGACAACTGTTTGGGTTGCCATCTGTATTAAAACAAACGTAGTTTGTAAGATATTAATTATAACAGGTCATAGAACCCATAAGTTCTGATCGCTGTTCAAATAAAAAATATAAAAAATGAAAAAAAAATTAAAAAACTATTAACCTAGCGGATATTAAAAATATCATAAAAATAATATTTTATAATAAATATTATTTACTAATAAATAATAATATTAATAAAAAATATTATTTATTAATAACCTACCTTATGGAAAGTTAAAAATATCATAAAAATAATATTTTATAATAAATAAAATTATAGCAGTATTACCAAAAATGTTGATGAAAAATTTTGCACTTATATTATGAAAAAATGGTTCTGCCGATCGTGGAGTAAAATTAATCAAAGTGTCCATATAGAGCAATCAAATGGCTTTTATTAAAAGGGGAAATCGTATTTCCTGGTGAAAAGTACATTTGTGATTATAACTAAAATTGCATCTTTTTATAATATATATGTATGTGTGTATGTATGTATGTATGTATGTATGTAAGCGTTGTCTGAACAAATAACGGTACCAAAACAAATAATAAACATTGCACGTATTTTGTTAAATTCAAATTTCGTACCTTTTCATAGTATTCCCAGATGCAGTAAAATATTAAATGTTTTTATTGGTAGTCGAACAATGCAAATAGTTTATTTTAACTATAAGGGGTAACCCTGAGTTGTGGAATTTATAAGGAAAGAGTAAGATTGTTTAGTCGTAAATCGGCTTTTGGTGCTACTCGATCGGTGAATGCATCTATATCGTAGAACACTTTATTCGTTTACGTAAAAAACATTTGTCCTTTAGGCGATTATTTTAAATGTTTTGGTTGTGAATCAATTATTTGTCTCTACCTTGCTGGAATTAATGATTCCGCAAAGAAATGATTAAGACTTATAAATTGTTTTTGATGAGGTGGACATTGGGTGTATTTTGTTCGGACATTATATGTCGCAAGAAAGATGAAGTCGATGTGTAAAAGGTAGTTTTTTTAATACTTCTAATTTTATGATACAGTGTATAAGAATTGTTATTATATAATATGTTATAACAAATCCGAACTGATTTCAAATATCTGGGCATAAAATTGTTTCGGGTGGATTGAGACTTCATAAGTGCTAAAGCTATTTGATATATGGAGCCCCTCAAAATTCCTATACAATATTTATTACCAATTTATCAATTTTAGGTGAAACCCCTATGCTATATATTGTAAGTTTCGTGTAAATTTTCTAGGTCTTCGATGTGTATGTTAAATTATATTCATTCTCGGGGCGTACGGGGTTTTCAGAAGTAACAAGAGCTCGCACTAGTATTGCATAATATATCATTATTTTTTGCAATTGCTGTACACGTTTCTGAAAACCTATATGCAAATAAAAAATTCCAAGTAAAATGTTGCATGTAATATGCACATTGATTTATTTTTACTATTATTTTAACAATAAAATCTAATTGGTTAATAAATATAAGATAACTATGTGTAAGTGCAAAAACTAAGATTTGATTTCTATCAAACAATTTTTCAATTTTCAAAATCGAGTCAAGTTTTTTTTGCAAAAATGAGGACAAAAATATTCGTACTTCTCTGAATTCTAAAGAAAGAGATTTACTGATTATGGCGCAAACCTAATCCAGGTTCCTCCTCATTGAGTTTCTTTGAATGATTCTAATTTTTTGAAATCGGTTCGGCCTTTTTTGAGTAAATATTGTCGACCATGATCTTTATCATCAAAAAAAGCTTCATAAAAGTCAGCTAAATTTCTACAATTTCGAAGATACGGCCTGGCCTATCGTTTTCAATAACTAATGAGTGTGATTCCCTTTCAATATATTTGAATTTTTTTAAAAGCTTGGCCGATGGTTGTTTCAAATTTGGTCAAGCTTGAAAACCTTAAATTCATAGTTAAACAAATAGTCTTATAATTCCAGAAAACTAGAGGTTATTATGTTATTATTTTTGACTGTGTATGGCAACCATGTGAATTACAAAATGTCAAATGTCAACTATATAATTTACTGTTATGTCGTCGAAATCGAGAATCACGATGCCCAAAAAGGCTGCACCGATTTCAAAAATTGCATCTCGACGAGGAGTTGATCAATTTTGCAAGATAAAACGTGCAAAATTTTTCTTTCGAGTTTACCACGCCAAAAATACTGAACCGATATTGAAAATTCAAAAACTGTTCGGAGAATCAGTGTGGTATTGTTCTGATTACTTTTAGGTAAAGATCGCCCGGATTGTTTCTTCGGAAATAACTATTGAAAATTTTGATTATTGATTTTAATAAAAAAAAATTGTATGATGAAGTCTTAGCGAACATGCTGCAATATTACAAGCCTACAAAAGGTGATTTAATTAATAATCATTAAATTTTGGAATTATAGGTGTAGGAATAATCGTGTAGTATAATTAATACAATTACAGATTAAATAAGTTTGTTCGAAAACAATAATTGAATATGACATTGAATAGATTTTAGCGAAAAGCAAAAAAATTATTTACGAATTACAGTTAAAAATTTTGTCGTCACTATTTCAAAAGTTTCTATCGATCAAGTCTGTTATTTACACATATAGGAGAAGTTCATGTAACTTGCCTTAAGAAAAAATGTCACTTACATCCAGTTTATAAATAAGAAATAAACATTTGCATAATGCAACTGCCTTTCATGAGTCTTCCACTTGCACTTCAAGTAATGTTTATCACGTCTTCCTTAGGTATCCCACTCGGGTTACGGGTTAAACTAATAATAAGAGTAGATAAATGTTACTCGAACAATAAATTTAATAGTTAATCAACTGTCTGGAATAATCCCAGACGTGGATTATCGCAAATAATCGTTAACCGTCTTTGGCGTGCATCAGAAGAATTTCGTTATGTTCGCCTTTTACATAATGTTTACGATATTGGCTCGGAGCTCGCGCCGTCAAAGGCGAGCATGCGGCCGATCTGAAACCGAGGTGAATGCCAGGGTTACTTTCACCTGCCAATGTAACATTATTTGATCGTGAACTTGTCCTTCTGGTTATGCAATAGAATAAAAGTGAAACACCGCTGAATAAAAGGAAATGTGTCACACTGATATGCGTGGACATATGGAACGCGTTCGTTCTCAAACTGAGGAGCGCGCTCGCAATTGCAAGGCAAGTGTTTAGGCGTTTAGCGAATTTCATTACAATTTCTTGTTGAATTTGTTTAATAGACAGTCTATTAACGTCAGTTAACATTTCAATTAATTAGCCCTATGCAAGGTTAAGATTCGTTACAATAATAAAAGTTTACACAGATATTACAAAAACGATTCTTTTAAATCTAATATTGCGACGGGCATGTCCAACATGCTCATTGAACTCAGCAACATACTGATTGAAAAAGGTACGGATATCAAATTGCAGTATAAAAACTAATATAATTGTAAAACATTGAATAGTTATAGAATAAAGAACAAAGAATTTACAATTATGTAAATAATAAAATGAATATATAAAAATCAGTATGATGCAGAATTAAAAATATGTATAATTGGTAAATCAGGATGATGTAAAATATTGAATGCATCAAGATATCTAGTAGAAATATATGTAAAATGAAAAAATATACGATTACCTAAAAAAAGCTCACTGATTGTGAGAATTTTTACCTCAGTTGTAGGGATCGCGACAATACCAACACCCGACCACTTGACCAACTTACGAATGAATTAGTTTGGTCAAAACACGCCATGCCAAACTATATCCTGATCCCTGATTGACTCATACCTGTAATTGAAACTTTATTGATTTTTCTAAATATTTTGTGATTTTTTTTTAAATTGACCCACTTATTTTTTTCCACGTGTTTGATATAATACATACTTTTGTAATCAATTGTGACAGTATGTATATCTAATTTATGAAACAGTGTAATACTTGACGGTAAAAGCCACTATGTAATACCCTTAAAATGAAAACAATATTATATAATGAAATACATATTTTTAAATTAAAAAAAAAACAAAAAAGACGCATGAAAAGCATAATATAATGCAGAAAAATGAAGAATAAGTTGATAACACTAAGTTCTTGTCGAAAATAAAAATTTTCCTTTCACTAAAAATTAATCAAAACGATTTCCAAATGATTTTTTTCAAACATACTTATTTTATACATAATTGTTTAAATCAATTCATTTCGTATTCTAAAAATGTAAATTAAGTATGGACGTCAACTGTAATCAGTTGCTGCCTATCGAATACGGAATGCACAGATGCTTTGGCATCGATTCGAATTGGAAATAAAAATTTAGTGAATTTTAAACTTTAGTGTATTTTTATATTTTAACCGCTATAGCTTATAGGTAGGCCTATAACATTTTACTATTTTATTTCAAACTATATAATATCTCGCCATATCATCACATGGCTCATCAAATCATTTTAAAATGGGTTCAAGAGTGTGGGCTAAAACGCTGCCAAAAAAGTTTACACCCTTCTGCTAATTACAAAAAAAAACGGCTTGGCCGATTGTTGCGCAAATTGACAAAACCTAGTCTTAATCGAGTTAGGCATCAAATAGCTTTCAAATTTTTGAATTCAGTCCTGCCGTTTTTGAATGTCGACAAAAGGTTAAAATCGACCCACATATACAAACACACTCATACGCGTACTTCTGACAAATTTGGTCTCATTCGATTCAGAATGACTTGAAACGTCTAGAAACATTAAATCGCGAAACAGCAAATCGGGAAGTTATTAAAAACTAATGTAACAAGTTTAATACTAAAAGCAGTGGATAAAATAAAAAAAAATGTTTAATATCAAAATTATGTTTTGTAATTGACAATTATTTTTTAAAACTACATACATCTTTTAAAAAATAATTGTCAATAAAATAAAATTGTAAAATCAAATTAAAATTATGAAAGAGAGTTTTAGACGATATGATATTTTGTTCAGTTATCTCAATCTGTAAAAAATAAGTGTAATTTGAAAATAGACAAATGTAAATAAAATTAGTGAAAACAAAAATTTATAAAGAAAGTGAATTAAATTATATCTGCAAAGTTATAGTCAGTTGGTAAAGAATTCATTCATATGAAAATATTTTATTTATATATTATTACCATATTCTAAAATATCGTAAAAATATTGGGCTTGTAAAAATTTTACGACAGAGGTGTGAAATTTACGATTATTCAATTTTCGAATGTGCAAGAGGTAGTATATCAAGTTGTATTTCAAAGCCGTTTTAAGTCATTTAAAATTTAAAAGCCCATTGATCGTTAAATATTAGGTTGTCAAATATCCGCTTTTTTGCTCTTGGATTATAATACAAAAAGGCGGAAGGGAGATATTTGACAACCTAATATATTGTTTTGCTATGAGGATTGAACACAGAAAAAAATTTTGTAGCTTAATTTCTAAAGAATTTTATAAAATTCTGTCTAGTTTTGTTATTAGGGTACATTTTATAACGTAACTAAAGTTTATAGAAAGAACACGAATTACGAGAGAAATTACAAAGGCAGGTCAATGGTGCAAGAGTCCCATTCGTTAACTTCTACTTTCAAAACTTTTCATCATATTTTAGTGTTATTCATTGTCCATTTTTTTCCAATTCTTCTGTTTTTACTTTGGTGTCATCGTAAGCAGGTACTCTTCTCATATTGTGGGTTAAAACCAGTTATTCCTCTATTATTAACCGTGTCCAAGAAAGTATTTTTATCTACAATTCTTAACAATACTATATCATTTTTGACTTTGCCGGGTATTTTTATTATTCCATCTCTTCCTGCACCACACTTTCAAACTATCATACAAATTTTCGTCAGCCTTCCTAATACATCTGTAGGACACTGAAATGAGAAATAATATTTGTTTTATATATAATAATGATTAATCACTGCCAAAGAAAATAAGAGAATTGTTTACAAATTTGAAATGAGATTTTGCATTATACTATATTATAGTTAAATTTAATTTTCAGAATCAGGATACCCGATTCACCTAGGATTATCACTGGACCAAATTGATTCTCCATAAAAATGCTATAAAATTATCATCCTAAGAAAATTGCATTAATTTCTGGAGACAATGATGAAATAATATTCTCTCTTCTGAATCATAAGCACAAAGAGATAATCTGGGAAAAGTTTTAAAGATTTTCAAATATTGACAATGGATATTGGATATAAAAGGTATGCTTTACATAGAACAATATTTTTCTATGTTAAAATTATATAAATGGTTTCATTTAAATGGTTTCATTTTAAATAGATGTTTCTCGAGTTGTTAGAAATTTAATTTCTTGATTAATAATTATTTGACAAGTCAAATAGTATTTCATACCCGGACGTTCAATCACTTCATTTACACATGCTAAGTAGCACTATTCATTTTATTGAAAAAGTACTTACTAAGTACTATCAAAAATTTGCTAATGTTCCATAATCGATTAGGCGCGCAAATATTAAAAAAAGTGTGCGCCTAAGAATCCCACGCGATTGAAGTAAATCTTATTTGCTACTGTACAAAGTAGCAAATTTAAGTTAAGTAAAAATAAATACATCGTGTAACAATTTTGAATACTGTTTATTAGTATATGCCATATTATATACTATATGATAACACTCGTGATGCACACATCTATTAGTGTCATTATACACATTTATATAATGATAAATTATAAATTAAATATATATAATAGCATTAAAAATATGTATAATATTTAAAAACAATAATGTAATTAAAGTCATACTTCAAATATGACATGCTCGGTTTGTCATTGTAATTAGCATTTAGAAATGAAGTAATTGCTGATTAATAAATTCTATAATATTCGTTCACACAGTGAATTGTGTTAAACGACGTCTAAAGACATATTGTTTTTGCAACTTCACTCATCATGTAAATGTGTTTGAAAAACTTCATGTAATTAAAATTATCATACATTCATTGTATTTGTTTTTACTTTTTCGCTGTCGATATAATCTTATTCTTTGAACAGTAGTAATATCTGTCTTGCCTAAAAAATATTTTGTATTTTAATAACTTCAAAGATTTATAGAAACTACGAATAATATAGAAATAATTTCTAATCAATAAACTCACGTTTAATTTTTTTTACTATTAATTTTTTTTATCATTTTCAAGGAACAGGGTAAAATATTCTTTTGATTCAGGTATTTTTCATTAAAACAAGATTTGTACTACAATGTAACTTTAAAATGTTTATTTATCTATGCCGATTTCCTTGTTGATATCGGTACGCATACAACGACAGATCTCTATTCACATACGCGACGACTGATCACAAGCGACCCGTATAGAAATGATATCATCGAGAGCGAATGACGAATTATTGGCACTCGACTCTGTCGTAACGCACTTTCGTTGCATTTGTAAGTACTAGGATTTACACCCTACTCGCGCCTAAAGAAGTTTTACTCCAAAATATTTAAATACTATTATATAAGTTTTACTAATACTTAGATCTTAAATCTTCCTGTAAAATACAATATACGCAATGGATATTGAGTAGGTAAAAGAAAGATTTTTGAGAGATTATATATTTATTTTATTAGTATGTTTATTAAAATATTGGATTATTTTGTTAAAGTGATATCCTTGCTAATAATAAATCAAAGTAGAATATGCCAGAACAATTTCGAAAATATTTTAGAAAAATGATAATTTATTCTAAATATTGTTCATTAATATTTATTATTGGGATTAATGTATGTTGTGTTTGGATACTTTGGATGTTCATCAACCCATGTTAAGTTCAGTGGCCACTATGTTGTTAAGATTTGAAATGAATTATATACTTGTATAATTATTATATTATGGTAGCAAATAAAAGACCAATGCCATTTGATCTGACATTGAACCCTGCGTTTAAAATATATTATTAATATTTAATTTAAAACATTTTTTGGTTAGTCCCTTTTCTATCAAGTTATCCTTTTGTTTCCAATTAATTTGTGATATACTGTTCATTCTGTGAATATTTTAATTTATTAAATGAATGAGGATAATAATATTTGATAGTGTTACTTGAAAGATTTGTTTGAAATCGGTTATACACTTCTTGCAAAATATGTTCCAAAATATTTCCGCACTAATTAAAATCTCATTTCAAATAATGAAACAGATTTCAGAATTGAGATTTTGTTAAATTGTTTGATTTGCATATTTCTGGAAAATGTGTTGTCATATTTAAAAAAAAAAACGTGATATAATAATTTAGTTAAATAGTGTCCAATATGCGTCTTTAAAACAACGGTTGTTTCTTTTTATTTCTCCTAGAGTTTGATTTATACTTCCTAACACATTTTATGCTAATGAAGTTATAGTGCCAGAGTTTATTTTATTAAAACTGTATGTAAATGTTTCATTAGAATTATTTTCGCTAACACATAAAATATTCGGCTTTGGTAGCTTGGATTTCGTTCTTTATCTTCAATATGCGTTTTCAAAATTAACTACTGCTTGACAACATTAATATTAGGACCACCACTGAGCGGCCTGATATGCCCTTTCTTTTATATGTTATTCAAAAAAAATTACTAGATGTCATATTTTATAGACAGTTGTAATTACTAAATGAAATATAAAAAAAACTTCAATATGTGAAAGATCGCTATGTTTACTATATAGGCATTACATTGATTTTATGAAACAATTCCTTGAGATGTGTGATTACTACATAAATAATTTATACACAGACTTATAATATTTATTATTGATAATAACAATTGTTAACATTGCATATGTAAGCAAATTATAAGTCAATTACTGGAAGTGCATTAAAGTCGTTGTTGAATAAGTTTTCGAATTGTTTTGAAATTTTACAAATTTGCAAAATCTTGATTTGTTTTGTGTAACAAATTTATGAGTTCAAGAATCTTAATGAATTTAATCATTTTTATTGCACTTTCAAAGGTGAAAATGAAGTTCACTAGAGTGTTTCGTTGATCAGATGATCACTTCAAGTGATTTTGGACATCTTAAGCGATTATTTAATGTGTCAACTGAGTTGGACTTTTCAATCTGATTCTTTTAAAATCAATATATTATTAGAAATGATTAAATATAATTATTCATCATAACTTTTTTATGATCAGCCGCTTTTAATTAATTCCCACACGACCATAATATTTGCAATTTGTATTAGCTTCTAAGTTTTTAAATATGATTTAAATTTTTCTATAGTGTACTTATTCTCTAATACGCATAAATTGATAACTTAATATTTTAGCTATTTTCTTACAAAAGCTCTCGGATCACATTTTTGCTATATACTGTCTGTTAAATGTCTCTAATTCCATCATCAAATTGTAAAATAATTGTATTCATAAATTGGTACTGAAGCGATAGTAAGGTAACACTAAATTTAAATTTAATCAAATGCATAAGTCAAAACTAGCGTAATTTATTGACTAAAATAATGATAAAATACCGCAAACTAACAAGTTTATCATATTCCATTATTAGTGAATATTTACATAAATTTTAATGAGTTTGCGCTCGCAAACAGAATTTGTATAAAAAATAGCTTTAGGAATCGCGTTATTAGTAGCAAATAACAGTACTAAAGCCATTATTAAGTCTGCACACCGAATGGATCGAAATCAATGGGATTGTCATTGCATTTTAATTACCAAACACCAAATTAAAATTTTATGATTTATGCAAAATACATTCCAAGCCATTAGAAAGAGTATTAATTAAATCCCACTTAGAAATTTTTTTATACACAATTTGTAAGTTTTTATCAGTAATTTATGACGACACTGCTGAAGAAAATATATTGGAATAATAGTTTGTATAAATAAGATTTGACGCCAAGAATTTATTGATAGAAAACATATATTTGCACCATAGGTAAAGTCAAGACCTTATATGGAAAGAATTTGTTTCTATCTACTTGATATATTATTCAATTTTTATGTAATATGATTTTTATAATTTAACTGAAAATCATTGAAATATTTCATATTGCTTAATTATGAATTTATTTAGTTCAACACCATAGATAGTTTTAATATTTGATGCTAATTTTGGCTTATCATAACATCATTTTACGCCATTACACATCATTTGATCTTCCTTTTAAATAAAGTACATTATTTAAATCAATATTATATAATTTGCAATAATAAGCTTCATCTTATACCACTATAAATTATAAGAGTAAACATGTTTTTGAAGTAATGGTAACTGTTTTGTTCAGATTTGTTTAATCAGATTAAAGCATGAAAGTTCCAAGTTGGTGCTCACATTTTTTTAGTTACAAATAAAAACACTAGTGATGTATTATGTTCTATGATACATTTTTGAAACTTCCTAAAAGGTTCCCTAAGAATATCTACAGAAAAAATTCTAATTCGCAATTATTCATAAAATTTTTTGCAAAAGATATAAAAACTGAACCAATTCAAAGTTTTGGAAATGATTCGTTTATATAACTTTAAAATAGTATACAAATATAAGATCAAAATATCACAAATATGTTATACCGTTAAAAATGATCGATTATTGAATGGTGTTATTAAACTTTTTAGTAATTTTGGTTGGGTCAAAGTTCGAAAGTTGTTACGTTTTTCATTAATATAGTAAAACATGTATATGTAAAATATTCAATAAAACTATGCAAGTGCTTGAAAACATGCTGAAAATAAATTCAGATATTTTGAAAATTAGTTTTACTAACTATTTTATATATAAATCATAATACATTTAAAATAGCACCTTTGTATCTTTCAAAGTCCTATGACTCTTTTAAAATATATAGAGAAACTAATGATGCACAATATCGTGCGTAATTTAAATATTTTGGAAAATGGTGAAAAAAAATTTTTTTTCATAAGAATTTTTTGAAAACATTGCATTTTTTACGGAAATCGAAGCGCTTGAGCGTCTTGTTGCAGTCTAACAATTAAACATTATAAATCTTGATACGGTACTCATAAACAAAATTTGTACTTATTATTAAAATCTCTATAAAATAGCTGATATTAATTTGATGTGCATATCTCTAATAGTCTTTTTTGACCGCCAAATAGCATTTCATAACTGGATCTCCTAAAAATTTAATTAATTCTTCATTCTGTCAATACAAGTTTTTTTTTCTTTTTTTGTCAATCAAAACTTTATTCAAGATCAATACAAGTGAAATGTTTTTTAAATCATTTAAATCGAACGCTCCGTCCTCTCAAAAAGTAAATTACCAATTTTTTGCACATCTTCGAAACGCCTGAACCTGCCTTTGCTAAAAACTAATCAATCCGCATATTTCCCCGTTAATACTAATCGAATATTTTTTTAATCATTCAAGGCTTCTTGTCATATAAAATTTCGAAGTACTTTGCTTTGGGTTTTTCTTGACACCCTTTACAGTCCTCGATCTTCTTAGTAATCGAGGACTGACGACGACATGATGGGTTGCTGAAGACAAAAAGAACGCATGGGTTATTCCCATTTCTTATGATGACTTTCAAAATAAATCTGCCCACTCATATCATCATTTCTTGGATTTTTGCAAGTACAATTTTGTTATTTTTTTAAGCATTCGCGACTGCTAATATGAATTCGAATCCAAATTTCGTATGCGAATATATAATACATAATATAATTTATTCTCAGAGAAAATAAAAACCTGAATCTATAGTATGGCAAGTATCCAATTACCGAAAGATTTGATACTACTATTCTAGTTATTTATGGCTTTTTCCTTGAAGCAATTAACTGAAACTGTTGGTTTTGTAAAAATATTAGATAAATAATATTAATAAACACACACACACACACACACACATATATGTATATATATATATATATATATATATATATATATATATATATATCGGGTTTTTAACGTATTGAGAGAACAATGTTCTGAGCTACTTGGCATTTCTGAATCAAAATTATTTATTTCAAGCTTATTATCCTGTGGGATAAGTTATAATAATCGCAAAAACCAAAAATGAAAATTTTTACGTTTCAGAGGTTTCTGACCATTTTGGCATCCCTTAAAACACATGGATGTGTGTGTATGTATGTGCGAATAAGATTTTTCGTCATCGATTTCGAGAACACGGATCAACCAAATTGAATAATTCAAAAAACATTCGATTCTCATTGATAAGGAGACGTACTGATTAGTTTTTGGCAAAAACAGGTGCAGCGGTTTCGAAGATATACGGGCCAAAATGTAAGTCAATGTAAAAATGGTAAGTCAATTTTTGAGAGAACAGAGCATCCGATTTGTATGATTCAAAAAACATTGTATTTGTACTGACGAAGTGAAGAATTAGTGAAATTTTTGGAAACAAATTTTGTTTGCATTTCAATGGATTGTGTACCAATGTTTATCCATTATACTGCGACGCGGCGCCCAAGCGCTTCAATATTTCGTTTCGACGCAGCTAACATAATGCTTTAAAGAAAAGTTCAAAATTTTCAAAATATTTCGAAGAATTAAAAAATTAATTTTTTTCAAAAAGGCAATTTTTGTTCAAAAATTTTTAAAACCCCAAAGATCAATTTTTTCAAAGTTTTTAGAAAAAATGGATCACTATGATCAGTTGCGTTCGAGCCCTCGACCTCGAACGCATGATCAAAAACATTAATTTTTGGTACGGAAAGTTCCAGCAATTTGCCTTAAGGCACGATGCCATGCACCACTAGTAATTTTTGGTACGCGAAGTTTCAGCAATTTTTCTTAAGGCACGATGCCATGCACCACCAGTTAATTGAATTTTGTGTATTAAGTACATTGGCATGTGTGTAAGCCTATCGCGTGGGTGTGTGTTTGTAAACATTCATCATATTCATAGAACGATGTTGTACCAGGCGCGCGTGTGCGTGCGATGTAAGAGTAAATTATTTGTGCGCAAGAAGGCGAGAAGAGTGACCGCCAAGAGTGAACCCCAAGTTCGAGAGCGACGGCGACGCACATAGTTTATTAAACCGAAACTTTATTGCTATTTCTAAATATGATATCGTAAATAGATCATTATCTCGCCGTAGAGAGGAGCCGTGTTGTATAAATTGCGACACTTCAGAGTCATCGTCCGCCAGAGGAAATTCTACACGCTACAAAATTAACAACCGGAACTGGTTATTGCTCACACACACGTGTATTGGGAGAGAACAACAGCGTCCATCTGGGCCTACCGTTCGCCGTTTGTCTTTGCAGACGCGTACCTTGTTGCTGCCTTTTGCAGTGCCTATCTTGTTTCCCTTCTTCAACTTCGTCTACTTGTTCTTCTTGCCTTCTTGCCTTCTTGACTTCTTGCATTCTAGTCTTTTTGCCTTCCTCCCTTTCTACCTTCCCGCCTTTTGCCATCTCGACTAATGACGATTATAAAGATTATTTTGCTTAAAACAGTTTTAATAATATTTTCAACTTGTTTTTGATTACAGGGTTTAAATTTTGAGTGTGAACAGAACTATAGATTAATGGGCTTGTTCGTAGGTATACCTTATATTTGCCACTAATAGGTAAGTGGCTAAAACGATCGACTAGACCTGAATCAGAAGTCGTGGGTTCGATCCTACTTCGAGGAGCTTGTACTCAAGCAGCGGTGATAAACGGTTTTTACTTGGAAATATAGATTGCAATATGTTTCTAAGTTAAATGAAAGTAGCCCTTACCCGACTACTGCATTAATCAATATTTGCCCTATTACAAAAATTGTAATAATAATCTATCACACAGAGATAGAGCAACTGTTTGGGTTGCGATCTGTATAATCGACCAGTTTTAAGTGTAGTATTAAATCAAAATTGCACAGCAGCTTATAGGACCACGTTTTGGTTGCTGTTTAAAATAATATATACATCAAATTCTTATAATTTATGAACATGAATATTACTGAAAACAATATGCATTTTGAATCAGAATCGTCAACTTTGTAAAATAGTTGTATGCATAGATAAGGAAAATGGTTGTATGCATATATTTATTGTATTTTGGTGTACATATATACTGTCAACTAAATACCTAGAATTGCTCATTTAAAGAGAAGGTGCCGTGCATTTTTTTACTAAATTATTGACTCAACCGTTCCTAATATTGGTGTAAAGTTACCATCGTTGGTCAACTAGTTTATTATTTGCATTCAATTACGTCAGTTAACTATAGGCGTGTTCGGCTATTTTTACAAATATATTGATAAAAGGCTTTGTTTTAAATTTTGTGTTTTGAACATTTGTGTGCCAAATCATTGAATATGATACATGAAGTCTACGGTTGAGTGTGCTTTATCAAACACCTAGTTTATGAGTGGTGTAAGGCATAGGATCGAGAAGTCGTAGAAGATCTTAATCGTCTATCAACGTCTTCAATTGATGAAAATGTGGCCAAAGTCAAAGAAATAGTACAGAAAAACTGTCGTTCAGGCTCTAGGATGTTAGTTTTAGATCTTAGCGAACTTAACGGATCAATTACACTATCAAATTGGGTATGAAACGCTTTGCTGTTTGACACGTTCCACGAGTGTTAAATTTTTTTCTGAGTGCTGGAGATATGCAGAAGTGAATTTGGACTAAAGCGTATCATAAAATGTGATCAAACGTGGTTGAATAAATTTGGAGTGCAGCTCTGTCAACCGGCAGCTAAATGGCGCTGATCAGATTAGACAAAACTAAAACTTTATCTTTTGACGACGTTGAAGTCGGCCAAAAGTTGAAGTCATACTGCTGATTTTATTTGATTATGGTGATGTTGTGTACCCAAAAATAGTTGCTAATAGGATAAATAAAGAATATTATTTCAAAGTTATGGATCATTTTAGAGATATTGTGCATAGCAAATGTCTCAATTCGTGGAAAGGAAACTAACGGATCTTGGGTCATGATAAGGCACTGCCGCATAAGATTCTGAAATATTGAAAAATCATGGAACAACCATCATATTAACTCACGAGATCTACACCCCTGTAAATTATTTCCATTTCAAAAACTTTAATTGCCACTCGTCGGACACCTCTTTGGGTTGCTAGATGACTCTAAAAAAATCGCCGAACGAGCTGAAGGCGATCCTTTGAAAGGTACTTCGACGATGGGATTAATTGCTAGCATTTGTTCATTACTCCGAATAATGCCTTTTCAAAGACGATAAAATAAGCTTTAATGATTGAGCAATTATTTTGCGTTTTATGGAACAATTTCCGATACTTAGTTGACAGGATGTATACTTTAGATTTTTTGTTCGACGCTGAAACATATCTCGAGATTTGTTCAAGCAAATTGTGGAAGTAAAATAATCAACACTTGTTTACTATTTACTCTGTACTGTATGTGTGTCATTATTTAGCAAGTTGTTAAAAGTTGTACAATTTAGCAGTTTACTAAATATGTAGAATAATTTGTACAAAAATATATACATACAATAAAAAAAAAACACAAAAGAAATGATCATTTTTCTGTAATTATTAAACCTTGAACACAAACCTCGATTTTTTATTGAACCTTGATTACAACTCGAGGGTTCTATTGGATGAAACTGTTGTCCCACCTGTATATGATGATTTTTGTTATTTCAATATTTAAAATAATGATAAATTAGTGATACAGCAATGACTGAAAAGGTATATTTTTACTTAATTTCTTCTTTTACTACTTTCTTAAGCACAGAAAGTGGTCGAAAACATATTGTTATTTATATTTCCATGTGATGCCAACCGATGTCACTACTACTTGACATCAGGCTGGTCGATGCAGGTATCAAGCCGGAAACTGACTTGAATTCCATAGCCAACGACCCATGGGCGAGTCGAACACAAAACATAGAACTAAAATACATTATACACAAAATACAATGATGTAGTTGGTTATCATTTCTTAAACTAATTATTGCATATATTCATATATGCTTACAAATATATATATATATATATATATATATATATATATATATATAACAATAAATTGTAGTCTGCCCGAAGGCAGATCCATGATATGAGAGTACAACAAAATCAATGATTATTTTTCCTTACCACTAATTAATAATCATTCATTACTTTAAATTCGTTTTTATGAATTTTTCTTTCCAAACTTCTGCTGCCATCCTTCCTGTACTTCGGCTTTCAGTTCTTCGTATTTCCTCTTCTCGCGTAAGTCGTCAATCGTCTGCATTCTTCTTTTTCCAATTCCTTTCAGTCCTTCTATTTTACCCTTGACGACGTCGTGCACTCTTTATGTAGAAGGGGTCCGTTCCAGTTTCCTTTTCTTTTCAGGATCGTGCTCAGTAGAATTCTTTCTTCGCCCACTCTTCTTAGGACTTCTTCATTTGTTATCTTGTCAGTCCACTTTATCTTCTCCATTCGCCTCCAGCACCACAATTCAAAATTATCCAGATATATATATATATATATATATATATATATATATATTTGTGATTGTGTATAAAAATAAAATTACAAATACAGATATCTATTGCTATTCCTATATTTCTGAGCCTGAGCCGTTATTTTTTGCGTTGCTTTTCGTTTTCGATTCGAAAAAACAAATAACGGTCCTCTTCCGGCCGTACTGGAGTCATGCTATTTTGTGGTTTAGATTCATCAATTTACTTTAATATATCCACAAATACGAATACAACATACCTCATACTCAAACGTATACTCTTTAAAGTACATGCATGTATATTTATTATGTATACCTACATATATAAATTGATTTATATGCATGCATTCATATTTAAAATATCGACAGTCGTTGATAGTTGATAGATATGTACTGTAAGTGAAATACAATACAATATTTGTTTTTACGTTTGTATGCACTCGAACATGTGCTAATACTTTCTTTCTGAGTTATCAAATTTAATTTCTTGCCAAGTTTTATGAAAATTTTAAATTAAATGAAAGACTGTTTAATTGACAGTTTGATAAAAGCGTGAATAATTCGTTGAATAAATATTGTTTTTGCTTGTTCAATTACCTTTATTTCTTAACATGATGACTAGGGTTTGTCGATTTTCAAAAACCGGTTTTTTGACAAAAATTATAAAATTCGAAAACCGGTTTTTAGTAGAAAAAATCGATTTTTATTGTGTAAATGGAAAATAACAAATATACAAGATGGAAGCAAGCGTTTTGATA